TAGCCCTCTCTCATTTTCTCATGTCAAACTGTCCTGATCATCTATTTTTGACAACCACAGCCCCAAGGGCTGTCCAAAGTTATTCCCACTGAGCGTATCCTTTGCAATGCACGGAACAGCTCTAAGCTGTAGAAATTTACACAGATCGGGCCAAGCTAGGGAGCAGAATGGACATTTATTATGGTGAACCTTCCGGCTGTCGCTCATCGCTCATCCTACGTTCAAGTTACTAACCGTGACCCATTATTTTCACTCGCCTGTAGCCTAATTCCTCTCGATCTACAGCGCAGGCATGTCTTGTACCTCCAACCAAAGGGTCCCCAAAGCGTCGGCCCAACTTTCAACAAGTGACAGTTCATTGACGGCTCACCAGTGCAAGCGACAGCTGCATGTCCACCGCGGAAGGAAGCAAAAATAACTGCATGACTGTCGTTCGCTGCCTATCTCCGCAGATAGCCACTGCAACGCAGGCTACATCAACGACCTTCGCATTTTCTCTTCCAGTTCCTACCTGGTATTGCAGTTTCGACCCCTGGGCCGACACTGAGTAACGTCGTCTCCGACTTCAATTGAACAGCGTATTGGAGCCCAGACGATCCATCCACCGTTCTCCGAAATGGCCGAATTACATACAAACGGCACAAATCATTCCTGGAAGCATGCTCCGCTCATGGCAACCAGCGACTTGGGCAAACATTCCAGTGGTCAATCTGTCCTAGAGCCTTACGGCTTCAGTGATTGCCAGTGTGGAGTATGTGGCTGTCGAGCATCTTCCCGCAGGGGCCACCCAAACAGTGCTCGAAATAGCAGGATTGCCAGTGGTATTTTCCTCTGCATTTTGGGCCCAGTTTTCACCTCATTGTGATTTTCGATTGACCGATGTTAATGGAGTAGGAGGAGGAGCATTTATAACCGCGGTGGTCCTCCGGAGGTATGTGTATACACATCCGCACCCTTGAGTGCTAAATGAACGTTAACAGTTACACAGCTAGCAGATTTGTCATTTTCCATCCGATATTGAACGTATTGATTCTAATTTCTAACCCAACATCAGACTTTGTGCCAAAAACTTGATCGCACTTGATTTCACTTTTATCCTCCTCCTCCTCCTTGATCTGACTTGTTTCGGCCTAAAAAGACCGCAAGTGACAAGTGATCAAGCCAGGTCCGATTTTCCACAAGTGAAAAACAAACTTTTTCCTACGGGGTGCGGGCTCATTTTTATCCATTTTGACAACCTAAAGTTTTTCAGATTTTTTGGATTCAAGAGGAAAAGTGCATTCAAGATCAATCAAGTGACAAGAAAAATGCCGAAAGGCTGATGAATTCCCGCGAATTATTGTCGGAATGAGCTTATTCTTTACTTCCATAAAGTGAGCCCCTCGCCTTCATGCAACCAAGACGTCCCCCCCAAAAAAAGAGTTCTCCAAAATATTACTCCGACGAAAATGGGGTCTATAAAATACTGCCCGAGATCTACAGAAAGAATTACACGCTCAAACTTTTCAGTACGACTCTACTTTGAACTAACTAACAACTAACACCAGAAGAAAAATACAAACAACAAATCATATCATATCATATCATGAACGGTCATTACGGTAAAGAGTGGAACTCATAAGTGAGCGAAGAATCTACAAACTACCCCACACTACACTACTCAAGTGAGTAAGCATGTACGTAGCCACACATACGACAAAGGATGGACGATAATGGTGGTGGTGGTGGTGATGGGTGGATAAGTGGAAGTGGTGGTGTGATGGTAGTGACGGAGTGGAAGTCCGAACAATTAGTAGTACAAGCAAATCAGCCGCAAATCTCGGAATCGCCGATGCGATACCTTCTATCCCTCAGACCCAATACCAGCAAAGAAAAAAAGGCGAAACCGCGCGCACGGTGAGGCGAGGAGTAGGTGTCGTGCCCGTGCCCCCAACTCTCGGGAGCGAGAATACGCCGATCATCTCCCCTCCCGTCTAGAGAAACGAAGGAAAGGAAGACGCCCATGCCAACGCCTACGCCAACCTCCTTACATACCCCAACACCTCCTCCCGGCTCGGTATCCCCGGCATCGCGGGCATCTGTATCGGTATCTGCGGCAAAACAGCAATCAACCCCGCGCTCATCCTCCTTGCCATCATCGTCGCGCGGGGCCTTATCGGCCTTCGATGCTTGACGCGCTCGAGGAGGGCGGTGCGCCAGCGGCCGCTCTCGACTGGGTCCAAAGAGTTAGCGGGGTTTAGACGGGAGGAGAATAGAGAAGATGAGGAGAGGTTTTAGGGAGAGCATTAAAGAAAACACAAACTCACCGCCAGGTATCCACCCCGTGCCCGCCTCCGCCGCTCCGAACAGCGTCCACCGCCACCGGCCCGCGCCGCGCTCCAGCAGCGCGCGCGAGACGCGCCGGAGGCGGAGGGTCACGCCCCACGCGCGCGCGGGGGGCGCGTGGGGGTTATTGCTGACGGTGAGTGAAGACGCAGGCTGCCGCGCCACTGCCGTCGAGTGCATCGTCTTCGAGGCGACGCCGCTCGCGGAGAGTACCTCTGCCTCCCCAGCTTTCTCCCCCTTCCCCTCGACCACAACCGCCACGGTAGACCCCTCCACCTGCCGAAGCTTCCACCTTCTAACAAACCCTGCCACGCACCCGCGGAACCACATCGCGTGCAGGGGGAAGACGAGCGCGAGGAGGGCGGTGGGGAGGAGCATATGTGGGGTCCTAGGGGGTGGGTTGTGTTAGTCGGCCGGCGTAAAGGACTGAATAGAATGGAAAACGAAGGAGACGCCCGAAAAGGAAATCGCCGAATGGGGCCGCTATTGCGCACCCAGCTCCGCGCTAGAGTCGAGGACGACGACGGCGATGGCAGAGGCAGACAAGACCAAGACAGCGCTTCGTCCTGGCGCAGTCCCCGTCCTCGCGATCATCAGCCTCGCGCGACCGTGGGTGCTGCTCCTCCACGCCGCATGCCGCACGCATGGCCGACAACGAAGAGAAAAGAAAAATCGAAACGAAGCAGGGGTTGACGGCGCGTCCGTGTAGAAGAATAAAGTAAAGTAAAGCGAACGGGGAGGGGGAGGGAGAACACCAAGAACACACCTCCCATACTCCAAAATAAGCACCACATGGAAAACAATCCGCGTCGCGACGAAGGAGAGCGCGAAGAGCGTGTTGGAGCGCGTGCGCGGGAAGAGCGTGGAGAGGCTGAGGAGGAAGGTCGGGAGCTGGGTGGGTGGTTAGCGGCACGTAAAAGGGGGGAGAGGGGGGAGGGAGAGGGGGGGAGGGCAAAAGGGGAGGGGGCGCAAGGGAATGGAGGCTCAGGAAGAGGGGCCTCGCCACGTCCGTGGGCCAACGAGCGGGGTACCAGTCCTCCAACGCGACGCCGTACCAGTCCGCTCAAGGCCAAGCCCTCCCGCGCAAAAGAGAAAGTACGAAAACAAAAGACCCGCACACACCTCCATAACCGCACACAAACAAAACACATGCGCCCACCCCCACCATATCGCAATCTCTGTGATGCCGACGTACACGACGTGGTGCACCCACCCGGTGAGGAACCCGATCTGCGAGCGGTAGCATAGGGCGCCGATGAGCATGTCTGCTGTGAGGTAGGCCTGGAAGACCCGATTAACAGCGACCGCCGCCTCCACCCTCGGCTGTACCATCCCCACGCCCCAGCCCTTGCTCCCCTCCATTAACCCTTGCCCTTCCCTTAAGTCCCCTTGAATTAACCCGAAATGGAAACCAGCATAGTCCAGCACGAACGGCAGCGAAGCACACGTCATGAGACCCGACGCGACGCCCGTGAGGAGCCACGCGCGCTGGCGTACGCTGGGGAAGGGGCGGCTCAGCAAGGGGTAGAGCGCACAGAAGACGAGGAGCGCGGGGAGGAAGATTGGGGCGAGGGAGAAAAGGGAGGCGAGGGAGGAGAGGGTGCACAGTGCGGCGAGGGGTGCGAGAGGGGAGCCGAGCCCGACACCAAAAGAGAGCCTGTCGAGGAGGCCGGGCACAGTGGGCGTGCTGGCGTTGGTCATGGTGACGGCTGCGGCGGCGTCGACGGGCACGGCGACGTCGAGCATCGGAGGGACGGACTCCTAGGATAAGCTCGACTTTTATCGCGCAATCGGGACCCCCGCACGTTCGTTTTTGGCTTCACTTGATATTAATGATAACCACCGAAGCAGGTAGCATCACGCGGCGTGTGACTGAGGGGTGCCAGTGCCAGGGCGAGATCGGTCCGCATCACGAACGTGTCCCGTTAGAATGCTTTGGGAGTGTACAGTCCTGAGTTCATTGGGTGGTGGAGGGCCAGATAGGGAAGAGACGAGACGAAAAGACCGCTGACCAAAAGCTGTGGCGCGAATGGATATGGAGAGCCTCTGCGCCTGAGAAGCGCACGTCCGCCCACGTTCATCGCACGACCTACGCACGACAGCGCTTGAAGTCTATTGCAAAAGAAGGTTGCCACCGCGGCGTCCGAGTCAAGCGTTAAGAAGGTCGGATCACCCCGTCAGCCCTCGTCCCCGTCGCGCGCTACGTGTACAAGTTGTGGGTGCATGCAAGCCGAGCCCGTCACGGTGCGCCTCGTTCTGTGCCCCCTCGACGCGCGTCCACCTTGTCCTCATGTCGGATTACCTACACCTACACGTCACCTACACGGCTTGCTCATTAACGTGCGTATTCCTCGGACATCCTTGGCCAAACCTCACCCGACGTCTTCCAATTCGCGTTAGGCACTTGGGAACCCGAGGGCCGATGTGCGACAAACGTTCGTTTCTTCCTTATCCCTCTTCTGGAATCCACATCAGGCTAGTACACTTCGGATTCTCGGGTCGACATTCCGTCGTCGTGTGTAGACTGGACAAAGCAGAGAAAATGTTTGTGGTGGGACAGGAGCGGCGCCATCATGATGTTAACGTTATTTGGTGACGTCAATCACTCGGCGACGCGTCGACGCGTCTTCCCATTGGCGGTGTCGGTGGAGGTCACGTAAAGAAAATCAAGGAATGCCTCCGTAGTCTGGTGGTAAGACACCCTGCTGTTATAGCTGTCAAAGGTTTTCCCTCATCAGGGGTGTGAGGGTTCGAATCCCTCCGGAGGCATGACGTAGATGTGTGTATTCTTTTTTTTTTCCCCCTTTTTCTTTCCAGACTTTCCTCCTTCCCTCCTACTCCCTCCTCTCATTGCATCCGAGTACATGCTCAAGCTCAATTCTACGTCTGTACCTTTCAATTTTTATTCACGAATATAGTAACGTAACCTCGGGATCCAATGTTGTCACCATCACAACGTGCGAAAGGACGGAAAGCGAAACCTCCGTGGTCTAGCGGTGAGTTCCGAGGGTTCGAATCCCTCCGGATGCATACCTTGTATGCACTAGGCTGTTTTTTCCCCCCTTTCTTTCTTTCTCTATTAAATTTGTCTCCGACTTCTTTCCTTGGCTTCGGAGTACGAGTCCATGTCCGAGTCTACATCCATCTTAGGGGATTCTGATTTTATTACCGTAACAAATGAACTCGGGATCCAAACCCACACCTCCTCCCACCCCCCAGCCTTTGCTTTCCTGAAGAGCCAAGCCCCAAAGCCTCCGTAGTCTAGTTAAGACACCTTGTTGTTATGTGGTCGGTCTATCATTCGTTGCATTGCAGGGAGTTGAGGGTTCGAATCCCTCCGGAGGCATATTCGGGCCTGTTGGTTTTTTTCTTCCTTGAAGTCGCTTCTTCCTTTTCACATGCAATTCGAAGTGTTCTGATACGAGATTTCTCCGAGTCCGAGTATCTCAAATGTGAGACCTACGTGCCTGACTTTTGGTAGCTCTTATAATGACTCTGTGGTCTGCGGTAAGACACCCCCGATTTATCTATAGAGAGGTACGTGAGAATTTGAGGGTTCGAATCCCTCCGGAGGCATCCTCACTCAGACATATCATTTTTTTATTTGAATCTTTTGTGCCAACTTGAACTTCCACGCTGCGCAATCCAATCAAACCCACACCGCACGTCCTAAAGTCCAAAATCCTCCCCAGGATCAAGTTCGGACAACCAATCTTATAAAATTTCATGCCAATCAAAACCCGCACACGCCCCAAAGTCCAAATCCTCTTTCCATGAGCAAGCTTCAGTGCTCGGGCTTTCCATGCGTTTATCTATCTAAGTCGCCCTCCAGAGTCCAAGTATGCCCTTGCTACAGTGATCAAATCGGGGTCCAAATCCAAACCTCGTTATCCCCTAGTTTATACCCAACACAAAGCCTCTGTTGTCTAGTGGTGAGACGCTTTGTTGTTATGGAACCGACTAGAAATTATATTACGAAGAGTCGAGGGTCCGAATCCCTCCTGAGGCATCTGGTTGCTCCACATTTTTTGTTTTTTTCCTGGTTCCTTGTCCTCTTTGTGTGAATCTGAATCATTTTTTCAGCGCTACCTTGAATTTCCGGCGTGGTCCGAAGATCATGTTTGAATCCCCAAGCCCAAAGACAGTGTGCATCCTGTGATTGAGTGTAGACCTTCACAGCAGTCAAGCAGTCAAGCCTCTGTGGTCTGTGGTAAGACACTCCTGATATATATGGCGGTGTGCGTGCATATTGATAATGATGGAGAGTCGAGGGTTCGAATCCCTCCAGAGGCATGAAATGCCGCAAGGTTGATTTTTGTCTTTTTTGTTGGGTGTGTGAATGTGCTAACTTGAATTTCCACACCGCTTGGTCCAGATCGGAAGAATATCCTGGAATCTGCAAGAAACTGAGTGAAAATTCAAACCCCCTTTCCATGAGTAAGTGTTAATGTCCCGAGCAATCAAGCCTCTGTGGTCCTGCGATGAGACACTTCAAATTTGTGTTATGTAGACATGCTTGTCCCTGAAGAGTTGAGGGTTAAAATCCCTCCGGAGGCTTATGGTGGCCATTGCGAATTTTTTCTTCCCTTTTCCTTCTCACCTGAAATTCGAAGTACGTGATAGTTATTATGATACAGAGATCGAATTGTGTGTTTTTTCCGAGTACGAGGTCCGAGTGTTTTGAATGTGAGACCTGCCTGACCTTTGGCATTCCTTATAATCTGGCAGCCTGGTGCAAAATCGCTCGGCTCTCCTCGGCAGACCAATGCTCACAAGTTTGCAGTCATGTAATAATAGCAAGGCAATATAAGCCTCTGTGGACTATGAAAGTCACCTCGCCAATTTAATCACAAGCAGCAGATATGTCTTCGTGTCGTGAGGGGTCGAATCCCTCCAGAGGAATTAAGGCGAAGCAACGCCGATTCGTTTTCTTTTTTTTAAGTATTCGGCTTTCCTGGTCCTGGTTATGACACTGTATATTGGTTTATTCCCGCCGCGGCGCACTGTGCACGGCAAACGTAAGACGATCATTATGCTGCATTCTTACATCATACCTCCGACCCAGTGGGAAGAAAAACAAGCCCCTGTGGACCATGGAAGTTGCCTCACATACTTAAGTCCATCCGTCTGCGGTATTGAGGAGAAGAGGGTTCGACTCCCTTCGGGGGCATGAATGTGGCGTCGTCGATTTTTTCCCGCCCTCCCCGCTAGCTTGGATCTAACATCTCTTCGAGCCTCTCCTACGTTGGTTGACAAATGCACACGCATAGAGATCTTCATAGCAAGGCAAAATGAGCCTCCGTAGACTATGGAAGTCACCTCAGGTAGTCAATCATTCTGCTGGCCGTCAATTTGAGCAGCCGAAGATTCAAGTCAGCCGCTCCGGAGGCATAGCTATAGACGGGGTGAATTTTCTTAGAGGGAAGTTCTGCCGACACTAACATACTTTGTGTTTTCACTTTCCATGCCTTTATGATATGGTGAGATTTAAGATGAGTTCAAGATGAGTTCATGAAGGCGAGATGCCCGAACTCATTCAATTGCAACTGACATGAACAGCTCTTAAAGTCATCCCTACACAAACGGTTGAGCAGGGAAGGCTGTGGACTATGGAATTCGGCTTACCGGTGGCGCAATAATTACCACTAAATATCGCTAATTAGCGAGTTAGAGTTATTTAGCGATAGCTATTGATATCACCGCCTGCCCGGTATCAAGATTGCCATCAAAATGACAAAACCTCCAGCCCAACTTGCCCTTTCAGGCGTCAAAAACAGCTGTAAATGTACAAAAACAATAACATGTACTCGTGAGATCGTTCTCATTGCATATATGCCGGCGGTTTCCCATTCCAGCTCTAACAACTCTGCAGGACATATCGGCAAAAGTACCAGAAATCCTGGAAGGGCGCTCAGTCCATGAACGCCGTAAACAGTGCTCTCCTGCTTCTTATCGAGACCGGTCTTCTGTACTTGTCATGGCGGTCGCTGGTCGCCACCATCAGTTACCTATCGGGCCAATGCGACGGAAAGACCCAGTCGTGCGGCTATACAGTTTGCATCCAACGCATTCGCCGAATCGATGGCAATTGTTGCGGTGAGCTTTCATTTGTCTGGACTATTAATTGCGTATGATTTATTCTAGGCTTTCAGGCTCGAATGCCAGCACCTTCGTTACCTCATCGACAAGCTCGAACAGCGGCAAAAGTCTGGGCACAATAGGGGTTCAAATGCCTCAAGACAGGTGGTGGCAGTCCCCTCCTCCCTCTCAGGGCGATATTCTAGTCATCTCTCCCAAAACCGAGTCGGTCTGAGGTAGTGGATGTTTGCCTTCTCTCTTTGATGCGCAGCGGACCTTTGTTCTTTGTGCCGACGCAGAGTGTTTTCCGTTGGGAACTGGTTGTATATAAATTATAGCCTCAGAGTTGATCATGTTGTACTTCTACCTATGTATTCAAGCGTCTTCGGACCGATTTGTTCAGAAACGGAGCCGTCAAATCTTCGTACTTACTACGTAGCGCGACCATTTTTCATCCAGAAAATTACGATCCTCAAGGCCTCAAGGCCTGGGATGTAACCGGTCAGTTACTCGCGGTTCAGATGGTGCGCTTCAAGGACACCGACACCGAAGTACTATATTGGTCCTTCAATTTCGTCCAAGTATTCTTGACAGGCGATTGCGGCACATTTTGTCAAAGCATATTTAGCCTGCTGCAACGACTTCCCGGATATTGAGGCCTCGTTCCTGTCAATTCTCTGACAAGTCAGTTGGAAAGCCTATCGTTGGTGTTGGCGAATGAGTGTTAATGGACAGTGCGGGTTCAATACATTGAAATTTGGTTGGTGTTGTCACGTCAAAATGAAAAATGCGGATTCAAGAATTTTCGAATAATACGGAAAGGATCTTCGATCGCCCCTCCTCAACAAATATCAAGAGAAACAGACACGTTCCCGCCCTCCACCATAACGCTGGGCCTGCGAACTGCCTAATGATAGAGGGGAGCCCGAGAGTCAGGGCACGAACTCACCTCAATAAACATTCAAAATGTAGAGGGAACAAATCCCCCTCTCCCTCAGCTTCGGGAAGGATCGCAAGATTTCGTCCTCCACTCCTGCCTCGGTGATGGTCTTATGTGGCGTCATCGACTGATATTCTTCAACCGTCATTGTAACTATTCGAAGTACTGGCATATGACGGAGAGCCATAATGTTGTCGAAGTCCTGGGTTAGTTCCTGCGAATCTTCAATGAAAACTCTGATCTCCAGACTGAGTTCTTCGAGATTGTTGGTCGAAGCAGCCGAGATAATCGGTACAAAGTGCGCGAAGTTATCGGGCCGAAAATACTTGATTTCCAGGCATTCTAAAGCTAGGAACCGCGAAAGATCCAGATTTTCAATTGCAGCGTTTTCAAAGAAGCGTCAGTGAACGAACTATTCCCGAACGGGTTGAAGCGAACCTGTGTCAATTCTAAGGTGCTTGATGGTGTGGACATCCCAGACGGTCATTACAAGCTCTGCACTCATGGAATCTGCTATATCAGCGACCACAAGACGCGAGAGATCGAAGGGGCAATCGGAATGGGCGAGCCAAGCTCCCGCGCCTTTGGCCCAATGAAGCCGGAGTTCTCGGATAGATATGCGTTGCACTCTCGAATCCAAATCAACGGTACGAGGATTGTTATGGGAGTAGTCGAGGAATGAAATATGGAGGGATATCACAGTCGGCGATGGGGCCCGGAAGAGATGCAATAGATTTATGACGGCGGAACGGCTATCATTGACGTGCACTTCGCAAGCCGAAGGCATTGCAACCAGTTCCGCTAGCAGGCTCGTTGCGGCGTCATCCTGAATGTCCCCCTTGTAGTTCGCTGATGTGGAGACATGTATAGTGTTGACCCTGGAAAGACCTACTCTAGATATCTGGGCAATAAGATCTGGCACGAATGGAATGTCAATACGCCGAATGCACGGGATTAGGTGAGGCGACGATCTCAGAACAGCGCAGAGACGGCCGCCGCCAGCAACGTAGTCGTATGGCACATGTACGTATCGAGCGCGCTTTTGTGCATCGACGAAATGGTCGCAAGCCCACGGGCGCCAGAACTCAATATCTCGCGAAAGAGGTGCGCCTGGGCACGGTGCCATGTGAATGCACGGCATACGAGGGAACAGGTTCGAAGATTGAGGTAACAGCGAGAGTCGTCCGGATCTACAACGTTGTCAATGGCATAGTCCCAGAGTTCTTGTGCAAGGATGGTGGTTGCTGGGCGTGGCGAAAGGGCCATGTTTTGGCCATTGTTTGTTGATCGGAAAATTTAGACAGTGTGATTGACATACAGATGTTGACAGTCCACAACATCGGCAAATACCCCCCTACTAAAACGTTTGAAGTCCAGCACTCACTCAGTCTTAGCATTAAGACCCCGTTCACTCTTCCTTTACTTTTGCTTGAAACTGTTACAATGCCAGTGGGCATCGGGCATCTCGGTCATGAATATATAAGTTTAAGTTGAGTTGAAGGAAGATCTCAATGCACGAGGACGTGCATTCTGAATTTCTGGCCAAACTGAGCCATTGGCGTGGGTTATAATTCAACATCCAAGACAACGAGTATTTCGAGCACGGTTCAACTTCAAGTTGTCTAAGTTGAACCGTGCTTGACGTACTTGAAGTCTCACCCACGGACGCGCCAAGGGGGCCAAGTGGTAGAGCCTAAAAGTATGGATGTGGTCGTGTGGCAACTCTCAAAACGAGCCATGATTTTCATCAACAGCAACGACGCGGATTCTACAAATAAAGGGTCCCATTCAATTCGCAGATCAATATTAACCCCCGGCCCTGAGACTGCCGCTAATCAAGCAACGGATATCACACTACTGTTGTTTAAGAGGAACGAGGTGAGGTCTCCGAATGGGAGTTAATATAATAATGATTAATAAAGTTCATGGATCTGCGGCGGCGTCATTCGCCTTACGGCGGATAATTTACTGCGGGGACATTCAAGACTCAT